TTAGCCCTTAAGTTTATTTATTTATTTATTGCCATTCCTGGAGCTTGAACTCAGGGCCTGGGCACTGTCCCTTGAGCTTCTTTTGCTCGTGGCTAGCACTCTACTACTTGAGCCACAGTGCTACTTCTAGCTTTTTCTGTTTATCTGTTACTGAGGAATCTAACTCAGGGCTTCATGCATGCTAAGCAAGCACTCTACCACTCAGCCATCTTCCCAGCCTTTTTATGTTTGGATTTTTTTGTTTTGTTTTTGTCGGTCGTGGGGCCTGAACTCTGGGCCTGGGCGCTGTCCCTCAGCTCTTCATCTCTAACACTCTACCATTTGAGCCATAAAGCCACTTCCGGCTTTTTCTGCTTATGTGGTGCTGAAGAATCAAATCCAGGACCTCATGAATGCAAGGCAAGCACTCTACCACTGAGCCACTTTGCCAGCCCTATGTTTATTTTTTTAAAGATGATCCTATTCCTTCTGAAATGTGTTAAGTGAAATCTACAAATAGCTCCAAATAGTACTTTTGTAATATAGTGAATACTTTTCTAATTGAGGTGTTTGGTTTTCCCTCAGTGTTCTTGTGTGCACTAGAAAGATGCCCTGACCTGTGTGTCTTACCCTGTGAAAGTAAATTAATGGAAATACAGTTGTCCCACAGTATCCATCAAGTCTCAAATCCTTTATATAATATGGTGTGATTGCCTTTGTACAGCCTTTGTATATCCTCTAGTCGATTCTAGGTGCCTAGAATACCAAATGTGATGCATCTGCTATGTAGTTAATGGTTAAACTACATTTAGAGAATGGCAAAAATGTGCACTATAGATGTTAACAAATGTTGTTTGGGTTTTTTTCCCAAAATACTTTCAGTATGTGATTGTTGAAGCTAAGTATGCAGAATCCATGGATACATGGATACAAGTAATTCCATACTGCCTCTCCATTAACCAGAGAAGGAATTAGAATGGTTGTAGAGTTCCTATTTGGGAGCCTATAGTGTTACCCTTTCCCATTTTTTCTCTTTATTTCATAGCAGTGTTGATTGAAATGAGCTGAGAAGAGGAAAGTATTGTACACAGAAGTAAGCAAGCTTTAGATGAAAATGTTCTTTTTTTTTTGCCAAGCACAAGTGCTCAAGCCTGTAATCTTACCTACTCAGGAGGCTGAGATCTGAGAGTCTCAGTTTGAAACCAGCTCAGGCAGAAAAGTCCCCTTGAGATTCTTATCTACAATTAGCCACTCAAAAATGAGAAGTGGAGCTGTGGCTCAAAGTGATAGAGTCCTGGCTTTGAGCAGAAGAGCTTAGGCACAACATCCAGTCCCTGAGTTTAAGCCCCACAACTGACAAAAAAAAGAAAATGTTTCTTTTTATTACACAGGCAACATTTTTAACATTTTAAATAATGCTACTAATTTTAAATGTTTCAAGTAAATATTGTGTGTGTATCATCCATGTGTGCCCCCAAACACCACACATACACCTGTATATGCTGGTACTAGAGTTTGAAGTCAAGGCTTTACATTGTTTTAGGTTTTTCGCTCAAGGCTGGTGCAATACCACTTAAGGTACCGCCGCCTCTTTCTTTTTGCTGATGAGTTAGAAGAGACTTTTAAATTTGTCTGCTTGGGCTGGCTTTGAACATGTATCCTCAGATCCAGCCTCCTGAGTAACTAGGATTATAGGCATGAGCCACAGGTGCCCAGCTAATACACTGTTACAATTAGCTTTGAAGTTACATTTCTCATATTAAGAATGCTACCCCCCATAAAGTACTAACTGACCATGGCTTCTTGGAATGAAAACCAAGACTTTGTAAAACTTTTTTTTTGGGGGGGAGGGGTTGTGGGGCTTGAACTCTGGGCCTGGGTGCTGTTCCTCTCAGCTCAAGGCTAGCTCTCTACCACTTGAGCCACAGCACCACTTCTGGTTTTCTGGTGGTTTATTGGAGATAAGAATCTCATGGACTTTCCTGCCTGGGCTGGCTTTGAACCACGATCCTCAGATCTCAGCCTCCTGAGTATCTAGGATTACAGGCATGAGCCACCAGCGCCTGGCTAAAACTATTTTTTCTTTTTTTTTTTTTGTTTGGTAGTTGTGGGGCTTGAACTCAGGGCCTGGCTGCTGAACTCTTTTGCTCTTTTGCTCAAGACTAGGCTTGAACTAAAGCTCCACTTCCAGTTTTCTGGTGGTTAATTGAAGATAAGACTTTCATAGACATTCTTGCCTGGCCTGGCTTTGAACCTCAATCTTCAGATCTCAGACTTCTGAATAGCTAGAATTAGAGGTGTGAGCCACCAGTGCCCAACCAAAACTTATTTCTAATGGTGTATAATTAAGGTACATCTCAGTGTTTCAAATAGAATAAACAAAGGAAAACTTTATAAAAAAAAAAAGAATGTCACCTCAGCTGGATTACATGTGGTACATTAAATTTATCTTCATTGAGAATTAAATGTTGGGTAAAGAAAGGTAAATAGGGCTGGGAAGGTGGCTCAGTGGTAGAGCGCTTGCCTTGCATGCCTGAGGCCCTGGGTTCGATTGCTCAGCACCATGTAAGAAAAAGAAAAAAGCTGGAAGTGGTGCTGTGGCTCAAGTGGTAGAGCGCTAGCCTTGAGCTGAAGAGCTGAGGGACAGCGCCCAGACCAGAGTTCAGGCCCCACGACCGGACCCCAAAAAAAAAAAGGTAAATAAAGCCAGGTGCCAGTGGCTCATGCCTTCCTGTAATTGTACTGCTTGGGAGGCTGAGATCTGAGGATCACAGTTCAAAGACAGCCTAGCCTGGGCAGGAAACGCTATGAAATTCTTATCTCCAATAAACTGCTCAAAAAAACTGGAAGAGGTGCTATGACTCAAGTGGTAGAAAGAAAAGCTCAGGGACAGTTCCCAGGCCCAGAGTTCAAGCCCCAGGACTGGCCAATAAAAGGGAGGAGAGATAGCCATTAGCAAGGTCCACTGACCTTGAGCCAGACTCACTCTGATGACACATATGTTTGGCTTTCTTCATCTGCATCATGGATTCAACTGGATTCTGTTTATCCGTAGTTCATTGCTAGATTTATGTTGTACAGTCATTTGATTACCTGTGCTCTGGCCATTTTCAGTATCACAGCCCTGCCTCTGCCTCAGTTTCATAAATTCTTAAGTGATCTTCAGAATTTAAAAAAGCCTTCTATCCCATTCATGGCTTGGTACACAAAGTTCAATGTTACAGCTTCTCCTATTTGCTGCTCATCTTTTCTTAAAAACATTAGTCAAAAAACAAACAATTACTCCACAGTGACGTTTGAGAAACTCATAACCAGGAAGCTGCGCACTTCCCTCTCTATCAGTGTTTTCAGGTTGGAAATGTGTACACATGTACTCACAAACACACCCCCAGAGATGGAAATGATAGGGAGACTGTAATACACATGGACCCTGAACTGTTTTCTTCTGACTGCAACATATGAAGAAATAACAGGCCCTTTTTCATGAGTGCTTTTTTTCTTCTCCATGGTTCACTCCAGGTAAAGGCAAACTGCCAACCTAACAACAATCAAGTCCTACAACATAATAGCCCTCAACAGTTCAAGAGGAAGGCACCTGGATTTTCCCAAAACAGTGATGGTTTGGCAGCAGCAAAGACAGTAGCGTCCTTTGAGATTGAAAGGCAATTTAGAGCTTCAATTTTTCTAATTCTAGAATCTAGTTTTGCTTAGTCCTATGGGAGTCTTAATTTGTGAATAAATCTAGGATCTCTGGGGCTGATATCTTAATTACTAATTAATGCCTAAAATTATCTAAAGATAGTACTTCTGCATATTGTCTCTGTTGTGCCAATTTGGAACCTAGACTTAAAGATTTGATTGTCACTCCGAAAAAGAGATCTTTTTTGTCATCACACCACCCCTCAATACTCACTTTCTTTCTTTCTTTCTTTTTTGTCGGTCGTGGGGCTTGAACTCTGGGCCTGGGCACTGTCCCTCAGCTCTTCAGCTCAAAGCTAGCGCTCTACCACTTGAGCCACAGTGCCACTTCTGGCTTTTTCTGTTTATGTGGTGCTGAGGAATTTGGACCCAGGTCTTTGTGCATGGGAGGCAAGCATTCTACCACTGAGCTACCATCCCAGCCCCCAATTCTCACTTTCTAAAATTTCCTGGATTCATAGGACAGAAAGAAAAATCTGAACAGAAAGTGTAGACAGTCCCCCTGACAGGTCTCCTTCCTTAAGACTGGTATAGGATGGCAGGAGAAGTGGTACAAGTTTAGGGAAATACAGATGGCAAAGTGATAGTCTTTTACATGGGTCACAAACTGAGCAAATAATAGAGCTGAAAACACAAAATAATCTCTTTGGGTTTTTTTTTATTGTTCTTTTGGATACTACTGGAGTTTTTGGATGATAGTCCTTACGCCTGCTAGTTAGGCACTCTGCCACATCAACAGAACCTCACTGCCTCCCATTTACTGCAAGAGCATTTTGAGGAAGACTCAAGCTCCCTCTTTCTTCATCCCTTCAGACAACTTAAAGAAAAACTTTGGGGGTGTAGCTCAGGGGCAGAGCACTTGCATAGCATGCATAAGGCTCTGGATTTCATTCCCAACACTAGAGGGGAAAAAATCAATAAAAAATCCTCTTATTTAACTACTAGTACAAGAACATTCCTGTTCACAAATTTTAAAATGTTACAATATTTTTCCTGGTTCTGTAACTGATTAGTAGCTTCAGGTTGGTTATATATTTTCCATGTGAAGATAAACATCTTAACCATAATTACTCCAGGCATGTTTTGGTGGTTAATATAAACAGCATTAACAAGAGACAAACCAGATGTTTGCTTCTAAGGTCTTGGAGAAAGTGGATTACAAAGGGCATACATTGAAACTAATCTCCACTCTTACTCTGATTTTGATGGTTGACACAGTAACAGCTTTTTCTCTTTAGCTTTTTTGTTGCTGTTTTGTTTTCTTACTACGTAACCTTGGCTGGCCTGGAACTAGAAACCAACAGGGCCTCCCAAGTGCTGGGATTATAGGCATGTACCACCACATCTAGTTTTATTTTGTTTTGCTTAAAGAGGAAGTTCTTGCTATGTTGCCCATGTTGGTCCCAAACTCCTAGGCTCAAGCACTCTTCATACCCAGCTTTCCAAGTAGCTGTGACTACAGGTGCATGTTACTATACATGGCTTATACTGCCATTCTTACTGCATGTTCATAGGAATGTCTTATGCTGGCATTGCTGACAGAGGTATCTTTCCTTGAGTTTACCTTCACCACTGCCTAATTATGAGATTGGCCTGTTGCTGCTTTTTATCTCTCCTTTACAAAGGACCTCTGAAGGTGTGCCCTTCAGCCATACCCAGGAAGAATCTAGACATCCTGATCTGGGCTAAGCAGGTAGGGAAGAACAGGCCTGTTTTTCCACCCACTCCTTAATCAGTTGGTGGGCAATGGCTAACTTAGGGGGCAAAGAGAATGGGGAAGTCTTGTTCTGTTGCTGAATATAGGGGCCCTCTCCCCTCAGTGCTGTGACCACCTCATCATGACTGAACCAGGCAGCTGCCTCCAGTTCTCTCAAGTTCACCTGGATCTAAAAGACATAAAGAACAAAAGAGTGTAAGGTTAGGAACTATAAAAATTTAAGTATTAAAGCCAAATATGGAAAAATGGCTACTATAACTAGGCAGCCTTAGAATATAACACTTGGTGCCAGGCACTGGTGGCTCCCGCCTATAATCCTAGCTACTCAGGAGGCAGAGATCTAAGAATCATGGTTCAAATGCAGGAAAGGCTGTGAGAGTCTTTCTTTTCTTTTCTTGCAGTTCAGTGGCTCAGTTTTAATTTGTACTTTTATAAAACTGTGAGACTTTTATCTCCAATTAACCACCAGAAAACTGGAAGTGGAGCTGTGGCCCAAAGTGGTAGAGTGCTAGCCTTGAGAGAAAGAGCTCAGGAACAATGCCCAGGTCCTGAGTTCAAGCCCAATGACTAACAAGAAAGAAAGAAAAAATATATATAACATGTAGCATCTACAGGCAAAGTGAAAATCTGTTCTAGATATTGCCCAGAAACAAAAGAGAGGGGCTGGGAAGGTGGCTCAGTGGTACAGTGCTTGCCTTGTATGCATGAGGCCCTGGGTTTGATTCCTCAGCACCACATAAGCAGGAAAAGCCAGAAGTGGCACTGTGACTCAAGTGGTAGAGTGCTAGCGTTGAGCTGAAGAGCTGAGGGGCAGCGCGCAGGCCCATAGTTCAGGCCCCACAACCGACCAAAAAAAAAAAAGGTAAGGGAATTAGGCACATTGATTTTTTTTTTTTAATTCAGGGGTGTAGCTTAGTAGTACCATGTATACTTATGCATGTGACCAGGGTTCAATCCCCAATATCAAAGGGGCAAAAATATCTGGAAGTATAAATACTAATATATTAAGATGGATAAATTATACTCATTTTTCTTTGTGACTGTTTAACATAACATTTAAAAATGTTACTCTTTGGGGATGGGAAGGTGGCTCAGTGGTAGAGCACTTGCCTTGCATGCATGAGGCCCTGGGTTCAATTCCTCAGCACCACATAAGCAAAAAGAAAAAAGCCAAAAGTGGTGCTGTGGCTCAAGTGGTAGAACGCTAGCCTTGAACTGAAGAGCTGAGGGACAGCAGCGCCCAAGCCCAGAGTTCAGGCCCCATGACAGGACCCAAAAAAAAAGTTACTCTTTGTTTATTGTTATTCTTTGGTAAGAGTTAATGATAGTCAAATGATAATCTCTCCTTTGCAAGGAGCAAAGTAATGCAAACTGGCCACAGAGAGCTTAAAAGTGATTCAATATTTAAATCACCGCTGGATGCTAGTAGCTCAGAGCCTTACTATTTTGAAAGCTGAGAATGAAAGGATTGCATTTCAAAGCTAGTTTGGGCATAAAAATTCACAAGACCACAGTAGTGGGCACAGTAGTCCATGCTTATTACCCTAAGCTACATGGGAAATAGATTGCAGTACCAGGCCAGCCTGGACAGTGAAGCCTACAAGACTCTTATCTTCACAGAGGGAGAACACATTGGCCTGTGATCCCAGGAACAATGGCAAGGCTAAAAGTAGGCTACTTACAGCCCAGACATTGTAGGAAGTGAGAACCTATCTCAAAAATGATCAGTGAAACCAGGCTGGAAGCATAGCTTAGTAACTTCAAGCCAGTATGGCAAATGTGAGGCCCTAGTATTACAAAGAAGGAAAACAATTAAAACTCATAGAATAGACTTTGGCATGAGATGACCACAGCTATCCATCAGAGATCCTACAGATTAACAAGATGAGGCTAGGAAAAGACAACATCAAAGTCCTTTTCAACTAAAATTCCTGTAATTTTTTTTATTACTAGTCCCCAGTATCCTGATCTTGAGCTCTAAAACCAATCCCAAAGTCAGTCATTAAATTTGGTATATGTGGTCAGTATGGTGGCTCACACCTGTAATTCTAGCTCATGGGGAGAATATCAAGATTTGAGGACCGGGAGGCAAAAAGATGTCTACATCAACCAATAACTGGGATGTCATGTTGTGCCTGTCATCCCAGTTACATGGAAGTGTAAATAGGATTTGGGCATACATGTGAGACTGTCCCCAAAAAAGCTGAGGGTGTAGCTCAAGTGGTAGAGTGCCTAACAAACACAAGGCCCTGAGTTCAAACCACAGTATTATAAAAATAAAAACAAAAGGTAATTGATAAACGTATATACTTACTCTATGTAAGGTAATATTACCAGCTGAAGGGGTAAGATAAATACTGTAGAGACAACTGAATATCCACATACAAAAAATGAAATTGGACTCCTGTCACACCAAAGATCAAATCAAAGTATATTAAAGACAGTGTAAAACTTGAAACCATAAACCTCTTAGAAGCAAACATAAGGACTAAGCTGATTTTTTTAGCTATGACACCAAAACACAGGCTACAAACATAAAAATAGATAAGATTACACCAAAGGAAAAAGCTTCTGCCTACATAAGGAAATAAAAGAAAAAGTACTCTATGAAAAGAGAGAAAATATTTGCAGACCATAAATCTGATGAGGGATTAATATCCAAACTTTTACCTGACTATCTAAGAAACTACCCCAATTTAAAAATGTGCAAGGGGCTAGAAATAGGGCTTGCTTAGTATTCATGAGGTCTTGGTTCAACCCCCAACACTACAGGAAAAAAGAATGGACAAAATACCTGGATATTTCTCTAAAGAAATGAAAGGATCATTGGTTTTTAAAAAGTTCAACATTTTAATCATGAGGGAAATGTAAAGTGAAACCACAAAACCTGAACGGCTGCTATCAAAAATGAAGCAAATGAAGCCAGTCATTGTGCATACCTGTAATCCCAGCATTTGGGAGGCTGAGACAGCATTATCATCAGTTTGAGACTAGCTAGGACTACATAGTGTGAGTTCAAGGCCAGCCTGGGCTACATAGAAAGATCTTGAACAAGAACAGAAAACAAAGGACAGCAGATGCTGGCAGAGATGTGGGGGAAAGGAGGCTCATCTTCAAATAACCACCAAAAAGCCAGAGGTTAAGTCGTAGATTTCCATCTTTGAGCAGAAAGCTAGTGGACAGCACCCAGGCCACCCAGTCTCAGTACCACACACACACAAAATAAATAAAAATCCAACTTTACAAATAAATACATTAAGATTTGCTCAAAGGATAGATAGGTTTTAGGATAACTGTTCTTATCAAAAGAAGGGAAGAAAACCATGAAAACAGATGGTTTACCTGTACATACTTATCTCCAAACTCATTTAGTAGTATACATATTAATGTATACAGCCTTTTTATGTTAATTAGACCTCAATAAAAAGTGGTTAAAAAGAAATTGAAACTGTCTCATGACTGAGATATGTGCCAGGAAGAATGGTGATTTGTTTACTATATTGCAGATTCCTTGGAATAAATCATATCTTCTACATCTCTGTAATCTAGACAATGCTGTATACTAGAAGAGTGCTCAAAAACTACTTGCTGACCAGCAGATTGGATAAAGCAAAGGAAATAGTCAAAACATAATAAAAACATAGGAACCTACTTCTGTGTGCCCTGGTTTCACAGTTGCATGACAAGCAATCATGAGAGAGCTATTAGGAAAGGGCCAGTGCTGGGATGCAGAGTACTGGAGGCTTTCCAACTCCAATCCCACCTCTTCTGCAACTTCGCGACGGATAGCATCTTCTATACACTCACCTGCAAGCAAATTAAATCAGGACAGCCGTGGTGCAGAAAGTTTATATATCACACTGTATCAAAGCAACTCATTTGTGAAGGAGTATAAAACGGGCTCTGAAGTCTCAATGAAATGCTTTTGAAAGTCTCGTAAATCTAGCCTTTCCAACAATAGGATGCAGGTCTGAAGCTTGATGTTGGACTGCAGTGCAAAGCCTACTAGATTAATTCTAATGTAAGGTAAGTATAGCAGTGGGTGAAGCTACTGCTGCCTTCAGCTTTAGAACAAGTCTCCTTTTCACTGTTATTATTACCACAACAGATGAAGAACCAAAGCCCTACAAATAAATATGAAGTTCTAGTTAATATTCTGCATACTGAAGATAAACTGACCAGCAACACATGTAATAAAGTTAATGTAGAAAAAAATTGTAGTTAAGTGGTAGGACTGTTCCATCTATACTGTGTGTGTGAGAATGTGTCTAATGGAATGCTACAAAGTTTTAATGCTAGAAGGCAAGATAGGAAAGAATGTGCCTGAGCACTATGACGGAACAAGTACCTACTATTAAATAGGCTTTTTTTTTTTTTTTTTTTGGTCGTCATGGAGCTTGAACTCTGGGCTTAGGCGCTGTCCCTCCGCTCTTCATCTCAAGGCACGCGCTCTACCACTTGAGCCACAGCGCCACTTTAAATAGGGTTTCTGTTCTCCATGATCACCTGTTTATCCCCTAAACTTACCTATATCACAAAAACCTGCCAGGGCAGAATATAATCCCTTGGGAAAGGAACTCTGGCGAGCAAGCAGACATCGAGACCCATCTGACACAAGAATGATCACCACAGGAGCCATCTAGAAAAGGAGAATGGAAACTGAGACAATGGCACTTGGGTCCTGTTAACAAGCAGAAAGAATGGGTAATTGGGGAAGCCTTTTGTTTGTACAGGTCTTCTTCCCCAGGACAGAGACTTGTGTTTTCTTAAAGCACTGCTTACCTGTGGATAATAGATGATCTTATTAGAAGGGCACACACGCTTGCTGCCGGCCATATTCTTCTTAGTGGGCTGCCCACTTCTGCTGCAGAACTGATGATTGTCATGCCAACGGAGAAGAGCCTGAGCCTAGAAATGCAAAGATGGCTCTCACTTCATTTAGAGAAAATAGGTTCATCCATAATGGTACTGGGCCTAGTATCTTGAATAACTCCTAGGGAAATGCCAGCCCTTTTCCAGCTTACTTACTTTAAGTGGTTATTAACATATTCCCCTAGCACCAGAAATCTAAAAAGGAATCATGTTACTTGTTTCTTTTTCATTTCTGAGATTGGCTTTTTTTGTGCTGTTATGCACAAATTAGGCAAATGTTCTAACACTGAGCAACATCCTCATTCTGAAGAAAGCATTTTAAAATATGAGTTGATTAAAACAAAATATGTAAAGTAAAAGATATTTATGATCCAGCATAAAAAAAATTTGCCTTAGAGCAAATGTGCATATCTTACAGTATTCGTCTTTAGTGAAGCAGGAATTATTTGGGGGAGAGAGAGAGGGCAGGGAAAAGTGTTTAGAGATTTCTCTTTAATTTAAAATCACAACATCATAGCAGGGACCAGGCATAATAGTCCACACCAGTTGGCAGAGACAGGATCATGGTTCTTAGCCAGCCCAAGCATACATCAGCAAGATCCTCTTTATTAAGCAATCTAAAAGCAAAAGGCTTGGGGGTGTGGCTCAAGTGTTGGAGAACTTAGGAAGTATATAAGGCCCTGAGTTCAGTCCACAAAACCACCACCAAAAAAGAAAAGCAAAAAAAAAAAAAAGCAAAATCTGAATTTGCAAGGACAAGGCATTAAAGCAATGTAAAATTATTTTTCATACAATAGCTATGATTTATGTCATGGTGTGGGTCATTTTAAATGTTTATGAGACTGCAAGATCCTACTGCCATAGAACTGCATGTTCTTTTTTTTTGCCAGTCCTAGGGCTTGAACCCAGGACCTGGGCACTATCCTTGAGCTTCTTTTGCTCAACACTATCACCCTACCACTTGAGCCACAGCGCCACTTCTGGCTTTTTCTGCTTATGAGGAATCAAACCAAGGGCTTCATGCATGCAAGGCAAGCACTCTACCACTAAGCCACCTTCCCAGCCCAGAACTTCATGTTCTTTTGAGAAAATAGTAGCTCTACCAAAAGCAAGGCTAGAACAAAGAAGAATAAGCAATTTTCCTACAGCATATTGTCCCACAAAGGTTTATAGGAAGGACTGTGGTCTACAGAAGACGAAATCAAGGGCTGGGAAGGTGGCTCAGTGGTAGAGTGCTTGCCTTGCATGCATGAGGCCTTGGGTTCGATTCCTCAGCACCAAATAAGCAAAAAAAGCCAGTAGTGGAGCTGTGGCTCAAGTGGTGAGTGCTAGCCTTGAGCTGAAGAGCTGAGGGACAGTGCCCAGGCCCAGAGTTCAGGCCCCATGACCGGACAAAAAGAAAAGACGAAATCAAATGTGAATAATGTCATGAAGTCCAATGCACACATGGGCTCAACTATATACATATTTTATTAAACTCCTTACAGAAATGAGAAATAAGACTCTACCGTGAATAGCAAGGAGGAATCCATTGAATTCAGCTTAAATAAAGCCTTCCTCAGTTCAACAAAAGACCCTCTGAGCTCAGTCTCCATTTCAGGTTTTGGTATGGAGGCTAGAAAATTAAAAATAGAATGAAACTAAACAAATGTCAGATTTTGCCTCTGAGCCTATCTCTAGTCCCAAACTTACCTACTAAGACTCAACTGTGATATGGAAAGAACACAGATTCTTGCACAGCACCTGGGGCTTACACCTCTAACCCAAGCTAATCAGGAGGCTGAGATACAGAGGAACAAGATTTGAAACCAACCTGAGCAGAAAAGTTCATGAGGTTCCAGCTCCAAGAAAATCATCAAAAAGCAGTGCTAGACTGGACATTGAGGAAAATGAACTAAGAAACTCAAAGGCAGCGATCGGAGGGAGGAAATGAGAGGGAAAAAGGGAACAGTTTAAACTAAGCAAAAGGAAAGAAATGTAGATATCACCTGATGTGGAAGAAATAGTTGTATTGTCAAAGCTCAGAATTCACAAATATTATAGACCATGATAATGACAATTTGCAAGGTTAAAATATGTTTGTGACTTTAAGTATCACTATTCCACAATACTGTGAAATATGTGAAATTTATGTAATCACCTAATCTCAATAAAAAATCATTAAACAAAAAAAGCAGCACTGGAGGCATAGCTTAAGTGGTAGTGGTATACTTCCAGCTGAGTAAGAGCCAAGTGAGTGCATAGGCCCCAAGTTCAAATCACAATGCTTAAAAAAAAATACCTTAAAAAAAAAAAAACCACAACAAAAAACAAATTCCCAAGTGTCTACCCAAAGATTCTAAGGAAGCAAACATGAAATGAGGCCCAGACTTTTTTTTTAATAAGCACCAGGTCATTTTTAGGCCATTTTGGGTAACAGCATAAGGTTTCTCAAGATCTTTAGGACAACAAGCTGATTTGTATTAGCCACAGACTCCTTAGAAAAGAGATGAAATGGAATCTCTAAGCTAGCTAAACCTCATTGCAGCATCATGACATTTATACCCAAACCTTGGAGAGAAGGAAAGCATGACAGGACCCATGAACCTAAGCAAAGTGGTGCCCAAATGCAGACCTTAGAACCTTCTGTATTGGTAAGAGAAATGATGCCATAATTTATTTTCCTTCCTTCCTTCTTTCCTTCCTTCCTTCTTCCTTCCTTTCTTTCTTTTCTTCTTTTTTTCTTTTTTTTTTTGTTGTTGTTGTTGGTCATGGGGCTTGAATTCTGGGTTTGGGTGCTATCCCTCAGCTCTTCAGCTCAAGGTGAGTACTCTACCACTTGAGCCACAGCACCATGTCCAGTTTTCTGGTGGTTAATTGGAGGTAAGAGTCTCAAGGATATTTCTGCCCGGGCTGGTTTTGAACCGTGATCCTCAGATCTCAGCCTCCTGAGTAGCTAGGATTACAGGCGTGAGCCACAGGGGCCTGACAGTAGGATTTTCTTAAAAGTGCTATTATATGAAATCCCAAAATCTATAATTACTGAGAAATGCCCATTATGAATAATATTATGTACCATACATGGAAGATGAGCTATTCAGACCGAGGTCCAGAGCAAACCAAGCTTCATGCTGATCAGAACATCCAATCAGCACAGAATCTTCTATTACTTGTGCATCCTGTCCAAACTTACCCAGGAGACTTTCCAACTCTAGGAAAAAGAAAACAGGATTTCAATCACACCATCACTGCCATACTTAGAGGAAATAGTACAGTTTTGTTTAAAGTATACAGCTGTCCCTCAGCTTCTGTGGAATAATCATTACAGAACACTCTAGATACCAAAATATTCAGATACTCAAATTCCTTATGAATGTAAATAAACTATTACTTTACCTACGCGAACAGTAATACGATGCTACATTGTTTAGGGAATAAAGACAAGAATAAAAGTCTATTCATATTTAGTACAGATGTCATTTTTCCCCATTATTTTTGATCCATAGTTGAACCCAAGGATATGGAGGCCAACTGTACTTGGCTTAAAGTAACTTCCCTGTAGCTTACTTTAGTAACTGTGTAGTTTTGGTCTAATCACTTAGACTCTCTTGGTCTTTGCTTTTTTTTTTTTCTTTAACTTTTTCACTTTCATTTAAAGGCTCTGATAATGAGTTCATACATGTCATTACATTTTATTTGCCATATAATAGCCACCTAGCCGGGCGCTGGTGGCTCACGCCTGTAATCCTAGCTACTCAGGAGGCTGAGATCTGAGGATCGCGGTTCAAAGCCAGCCCGGGCAGGAGAGACCGTGAGACTCCTATCTCCAGTAAACCACCAGAAAACCGGAAGTGGCGCTGTAGCTCAAGTGGTAGAGCGCTCGCCTTGAGCTGAAGAGCTCAGGGACAGCGCCCAGGCCCAGAGTTTAAGCCCCATGACCGACAAAAAAAAAATAGCCACCTATTTCCAAGTAGGGAGACATAAGATGTAGTACAATAATCATTTTAATATTAGTAATTTTAATAATTCTGAATTCTTTCTCTAAAAAGATTTGACTAAAATACAAAACATCCTTTGAAGCCAGTAGCTCAGAAGTGCTGAGCTCTAAGGGTCAGGACCCCTAATTCAAGCCCCAGGACAGGCACAAATACACATACACAAAATCCTTGTAACAAAACTAGCAATGATGGGCTGGGAAGGTGACTCAGTGGTAGAGTGCTTGCTTTCCATGCATGAGGCCCTGGGTTCAATTCCTCAGCACCACATAAGCAGAAAAAAAAAGTTGGAAGTGGCACTGTGGTTCAAATAGTAGTGTGCTAGCCTTGAGCTGAAGAGCTGAGGGACAGCGCCTAGGCCCAGAATCCAGGCCCTACAACCGACCAAAAAAAAACTAGCAATGAAACTTTAGGAGCTTACAAAAGATGTCTCCTGGAGGAGAAGAAATCAATTCATTCCCTTTGGCAGAGAAGCTCAAGCTGAGTGAGATAAACTAGTATAAGCTAGGAAGGAGCATCATGTGGCTAAAAAAGAACAGTTCCTGACAAGGACTTCCTCATGCCAAGCTCACAACCACCTAATGATGACTCATACTATAGGGAAAAACAAATAAATAAAAAATATGCTCTTCCTTTAGAAGTAATGACAGGAGAGATGATGCTTACAAATGGTCCTCTTTCTGAAGTTTATGAAACAGGTAGAGGTCATAAATGGGATATGTTAAATGTCCCTATATTTTCAATACCATCTTCAACTGTAAACCCAAATCAAATACCAGCCTGAGAACTGTAATTCACTCAAACTGTAATTTGCTCATTGCTACCACACGAGGCTTCCAGTAAGACTTAACTCTTCCTAATTGGGACAAGCCAAGGCAGAGGCTCTGCTTAGGTCACTTAATACACTTCTGTTTCCAGAAGCCACTGGTGGGATTGTCCCACTTAGGTTTCTTGCCTTCAGGTGAAGGACTACATATTTGTGCTGGTTTCCTGGTAGCCTATGAAGAATGAACATGTTTCTCAGGTGTGGGCTCAGATTTCAATTTGATGGCACCTGGAGCAGACTCTACCTATATCACCAAAACATTTGAATTTACCTTGCTTATTTTCTAGTGGGGATTTTGCCTTCTTTCTTTTTAATTTCTTTAACTTTACCTTTTGTCATAGTGACATCTTCATTCTCATCAAAGTCAGAATCATCCTCAGAATCTTCACCTTTTGGGGACAAAAATAGACTTCATACTTGACATCTCAGAAAACACATCATGTGTGGTTGTTCCACTTTTGGTTGGTTCAGTTGATGCCAGCCAGAATAATGTAAAGATTCTCTACAACGTGTTGATGAGCTTCACCTAAATCAACAGTGTCAGTATGATCTTCAAACCATGATTTCTTTGTCATTTCCTGTGATTCTGTCTTGATATCATTAATATTGTTCTATCACAGAGCAGATTCCTCTGTTGAACTGTCACAGCTTTAGGCACTTCTTTTTCTTTTCCCTTGAACACCAAGGTCATCATTTTCCATCATTAGCTTGTCCAAATCTAAACAATCACTGACAATGCTGCAATTAGAGATACGAGGAGGCTTACTCGTTTTTTTTTTTTTTTATTGTTGCCATGGTTTTCAATACTTTTGTCTGGAGACTTATGCACATGATTGGTGACTGGCAGTTTCTGGATACAAAGATATAGCAACCTCTAAGCCTCTCTGAGAGATCTTGTTTTCCAAAGCAACCTCCTTTTTATAGTTTTAGTTTTGTTTATTTTTTTTCTCTTGCAGTAGGAAGTCTTCTTTCTGGAAATTAGCTTTGGTTTGTCTCCTTTTAACTCCTTTGATACTGGATATCTTGTTTAAAGGTACAGGCACAAAATCATCATCTCTGGTCATCAGGCTATGAGTAATTGAATGGTTTCTTGTTTCACACTGGGCACACATCATGGTCTATTTAAGAATGGAGATCTGAGCTGGCTGGGCATTGGTGGCTCATACCTGTAATCCTAAACTACTCAGAGGCTGAGAAGCCAATTTAGGCAGAAAAGTCCATGAGATTTATCTTCAGTTAACCACCAAAAGCAAGCCAGAAGTGGAGCAGTGGCTCAAGCCTTGAGTTAACTCAGTGCCCAGACCCTGTTAAAATCTCTTTCTTCTCTCTCTCTCTCTCTCTCTCTCACACACACACACACACACACACACACACACACACACACAAATGGAAATCTTCAACTCTAGGTAGATGACAACAGTGGTAGTGTTTTATTCCTGCCTAAAAATAGACATTATTCTCCCTGCCCTGGTGCTGGTAGGTGTGCAGTCACCAGCAGTCAGGCCTCTGCTTTTTTTGGGGGGGGGGCGGGGGGAAGGGTCCGGTCGTGGGGCCTGAACTCTGGGCCTGAGCGCTATCCCTCAGTCTTCAGCTCAAGGCTAGCGCTCTACCACTTGAACCACAGTACCACTTCCGGCTTTTTTCTTTTTTGCTTATGTGGTGCTGAGGAATTGAACCCAAGCCTTCATGCATGCAAGGCAAGCGCTCTACCACTGAGCCACCTTCCCAGCCCACCTCTGCTTTCTTATCAGATATCAAAGAAGGAATTCTGTGTATCTGTGATTACTCTGATTGTATGATAGACTTAACGTAAGTCTTGTTCATAATATACATGATAGTTAATTTGTAAGGGCATTGAAAAAGAGAAGTGTTACACTTAAAATACTAGAGACAAGTCTAGCTCTATAATTAGCTTCTAGACTGTGTTGCTTTGGTAAACCAGAGTGGAATACTCACTTGAGATCCTGGTCTGTGAAAAGGAACTGCTATGTAGAGAAAAAGCCTGTGCATCAAGGACTCATTTATTTGCTCATTATACAATATAACATTGCTAAATCTCTACATGATGTTTTCATTTTCTAACAAAGTCCTTGTATTCTTCTGCATTACTGGAAACTTCCCGTCCAAGTACTCCAACATGTGACCCATGAAGAAATTCACCGGCAGAGGATTAAGAAGTTAGTATATGGTGACTAACTGTACTTACATATTAATATAAAACTGAAAGCTAATATTTGAATGTCAAATTCCAGCTTGTAGTCCTAGCCAAGAGGACCCATCTCAAAATAAATAAATAGCAAGTCCCAATGACTTAGACCAATAATTATCTAAACTAAGAAGACCTCAAATTAATTTATTATAAATTTTAATACCCTAGTAAAAATTAAATTAGGATACAAATCTTACACTATGTAACTGCAACTTCACTAAGGCCCAAGTTGGCAAATTTTCTCTAAAAGGAATACTAATTTTGTGAATTCTTGTGAGTAATCCAGTGTTGGTTAAAATCACCCAACTGTCATTGAAGAGACAATATAAACCAATAAGTAGGGCTGTGCGCCAATAGTTTTTTTCCCCCCAATCCTGGGGCTTGACCTCAGGGCCTGGGCACTGTCCCTGAGCTTCTCTTGCTCAAGGCTAGCACGCTACCACTTGAGCCACAGTGCCACTTTTGGCTTTTTCTGTTTCTGTGGTACTGAGGAATGGAACCCAGGGCTTCATGCATGCTAGACAAGCACTCTACTACTAAGCCACATTCCCAGCTGCCAGTAAAAATTTTATTTACAAACCAGGCAGCCAAGTCCAGTTTAGATAGCAATTTTACTGATGGGGCAACTATGGTTCATACAGTACTAAACTTAATTGGCAGAAGCAATTATTAATTTGAGACTCAGAAGCTGAGAAATCTGAGAAATCTAGACTCTAAGGTTCAAAGATATTTGGGGGGGGGGGATTCAATATGGTCAGGATTTAGCTTGTGGGCACAGGCAGAGGTGGCCACCTGTATACTCTGAGCTTACCTAATAGGCTAAGCCGGGGGACCAGGTATTGATGTTCTGCTGTCCGAAGTAAAGGCGCCAGGCTATGGAAGAGGTAAAATGCTCCTGTCTGCTGGGCTTTTTTACAAGCATCATCATCTTCCTTCAGTTCAAATAAATACCTATATTTGGGAAATTATTAGTTCATAAGAACAGGCTTAGTTATTTGGATACACTCATTTTTTGAGAATTCTCCTGCATCCTTCTCCTAGCATAGTTAATTCCTTTATCTATTTACATCTTAATTGTTCCAAAAAAGGATTTGAGGTGGCTTCAGGCCGTCGTTCATTCCCGCTTCTACTAAACACAGCTTGCCCATAGTTGTGTATTTAAGTCTGTTCTCTTCCCTGAAAGACTATAATCTTTTTTTTTTTTGTCGGTCGTGGGGCTTGAACTCTGGGTCTGGGCGCTATCCCTCAGCTCTTCAGCTCAAGGCTAGCACTCTACCACTTGAAGCTACAGCGCCACTTCCGGTTTTCTGGTGGTTTATTGGAGATAGGAGTCTCACGGTCTTTCCTGCCTGGGCTAGCTTTGAACCGCAATTCTCAGATCTCAGCCTCTTGAGTAGCTAGGATTACAGGCATGAGCCACCAGTGCCTGGCTGACTATGACCTTCTTTAGGGCAGCATTTGCCTTTCCAACCTCTGCATGTCAGCCGTGGCTCAATTCAATAAATATTTATTGATGGGGTTGGGAAGGTGGCTCAAGTGGTAGAGCGCTTGCCTTAAGCCGAAGAGCTGAGGGACAGCACCCAGACTCAGAGTTCAAGCCCCATGGCAGACAAAAAGTAAATAAAAAATTTATCGACTTGAACTTCAAGGGTGGTAAATATTGAACTTCAAGGTATTTTGCCAATACTACACTATTAGGCAAGAAATTACAGGTAGTGGAGTGAAAGAAAAACAAGTATAATGACGAAAACATCAGACAGATAGCCTGAGATGGAGGCACTCTTCATGAGTGCAGAGTTCATGGCACACCTTCAGTAGCTCTTAGTCAATCCAGGAGCGATAACCACCACCCTTATCTATCAGGACTGAAAGGGATCATTGATCACATAGGCTGACCAAGTTAAAATAATAAAGATAAGTTAGCGGTGGCTCACACCTGTAGTCCTAGCTATTCTGGAGACCGAGATTTGAGGATTGCAGTTCAAAGCCAGCCTGAGCAGGAAACTGAGGTTTTTATCTCCAATTAACCACCAGAAAACAGGAAGTGGTGCTGTGGCTCAAGTGGTACAGTGCTCGCCTTGAGCTGAAGAGCTGAGTGTCAGCATCCAGGCCTAGAATTCAAGCCCCATCCATAATAATAATAATGATAATAATAAAGATATTCCTTCATCTTCTTGTTATTAAGTAGTTGTACAAAAGGGTATAATCCCATAAATCAGATTTAAGTACAATGCTTCTTTTGGAGGGGAGGGCTTTTGGCCGGTCATGGTGCCTGAACTCTGGGCCTGGGCACTATCCCTCACCTCTTCAGCTCAAGGCTAGTGCTCTACCACTTGAGCCATAGCACCACTTCTGGCTTTTTCTGCTTATGTGGTGCTGAGGAATCGAACCCAAGGCCTCAGGCATGCAAGGCAAGCACTCTAGCTCTGAGCCACCTTCCCAGCCCAGTACAACGCTTTCTTAGCCAATTGTCACCCCTTCCTTTGTTAACCCATTCCTTTGTTCTCCTTCTTTGTCTTCCTCCCATACCTGCCCTCAAGTTATATAGAATACATATAGCAAAAATTAAAATACTGAAAAAAATCAACATGTCAAAAAACATCCTCTTATTGGAGATAATAACAGGACAAGTCCTATACTTTTCCAGTACCTTTATTAAGGCTGATATGAATCTCCAGTGTCTGGAAATGGAGGCAGAGTCCATGTTTTATAAGTATAGACTGAATGTAAGTTCTCCTAGAGCTTTAGGAGAAAAAATCATTAATAACCATTTGACCTATCAAAACCCTACTCAGGAGGCTGAGATCTGAGGATCATGATTCAAAGCCAACCTGGACAGAAAAATCCCCATGAGACTCTTATCTCCAATTAACCACCAGAAAACCAGAAGTGGTGCTGTGCCTCTACGGGGCAGATCACTAGCGTTGAACAAGAGCTCAGGGACAGTGCCTAGGCCCTGAGTTCAAGACCCATAACTGACAAAAAAACCCAAAAATCCCTGAAACAGTGCAGTGGATTGCAGCTCAGTGACTCAGCACTTGTCTCACAAGTGATCAGTTCAATACCAACATTACAAAAAAAATCCCCCAAAAAACAAAAAACAGCCGGGCTTTGTTGGCTCACCTCTGTAATCTTAGCTCCCCAGGAGGCTGAGATCTGAGGATATCTGTTCAAAGCCAGCCTGGGCAGGAAAGTCCATTAGATTCTTATCTCCAATTTAAATACTAGGAAACTGGAAATGGCTCTGTAGCTCAAAGTGATAGAGCATTAGCCTTGAGCTGAAGAGTGCAGGGAAAGTGCCCAGGTCCAGAGTTCAAGCCCCATATTTGAAAAAAAAAAAAACCCTACCAGAACACCTGGGTTAAGGTCTTAAACCCAGGGCCTCATCTGAACTGACAATGAGATCCCCGAGTCATTTACCCTTTCCCTCAATGAGGAATTTTTTTTCTCCCTTTAGTTATAATAGCATGGAACCAAAATTTTCAAGGATAAAAATATTTAGATGACTTTTAAACTTTGGCAATATTTTTATTATTATAATAGGAAGAATAGCAATTATTTTAAAAAGTCAGGCAATATAAATTGTGTATACCAATCTTTGAACTCAGGGCCTGGGTGCTCTCTGAGCTTTTTTATTCAAGGTAGTGCTCCACCACTTGAGACACATCTCCACTTTTAGTGGTTAATTGCAGATAAGAATCTTATAGACTTCCTGCTGGGGTGGCTTTGAATTCAGATCTCAGCCTCCTGAGTAACTAGTATTGTAGGCTTGAGCCACCAGCACCTGGCTATCAATAATCTTTTTTTTTATATATTTGGGTCCGGTTGTGGAACCTGAACTCTGGGCCTGGGCGCTGTCCCTCAGCTCTTCAGCTCAAGGCTAGCTACCACTTGAGCCATAGTGCCACTTCCTGCTTTTTTCTTTTTGCTTATGTGGTGCTGAGGAATTGAACCCAGGGCCTCATGCATGCAAGGCAAGCACTCTACCACTGAGACACCTTCCCAGCCCCAATAATAATTTTTTTAAAAACAGAAAATCACTAACAATGCCTCTAAGCAGAAATAATCACCATTTACAGTTAAAATTCTCCAAGTTATCCTCTTATGTGTCAGTTGTGTCATACCTAGGTATATTTATATGCCTATGTAATACAGTGTATATATAGTGTATGTTTAAAATAAGCCAAGCTTCTGCCTTTGTGACCTTTTTTTCCTTAAACATTTTTACATCATAAAGTATTAGTTGAAGCCAGGTGCCAGTGGTTCACTCCTGTTATCCTAGCTACTCAGGAGACTGACATCTGAGGATCATGGTTCAAAGCCAGCCCGGGA